AATCTACATTAAAAGAGAATACAAATAACAGTTTAATATTCTCACAGAGCTGCTTTGGTTTTGTTCTCTGAGACATTTTCAAATCTCCCAAAATGCCTTGCACTTCTACAGATGCAGGCTGGATGCCCTAATGACTCTTTCTCATTAAACCATTATCACTCATTGCATTTGCCCTTTCAAAGAATAGCTATAAAGGAAGTAGGATCATTATTTCGTTAACTTCTCTAAGGCTTTCTTTATTATCATGACAGTCATCACTGGCTTCACAGAAACGTCTCAAAGGATATCACAATAATATACTGTATTTCCATAGCACTTTCCTATCCAAAGACTCTGAAGCTTTTGTCTCATGTTAATCCATTCAAACTAACAAAGTCCCAAGGGCCATACTGGGAAATATTATCTCTATTCTAGAGTTGAGGAAATTGAAAGCTTGCATAGGTAATGGTTCGTTTTTTCCAAAAGCAGGCATCTACAATTAGCCATTTCAGCTTCTATAATCATCTAGTGTATGGCTCGATACTCAGACCTGCTAAACTCCTACCACCAAACTGCTTAATTTGAAAACAAGTATTTACAAAAAAAAAAAAAAATGTTGGCCGCCTAATTTTAGCAACCCAAGCCTGAACATTTGAAGAGATGTGACCCACAGATGGAACAGAACAGTTCTGGCTCAGCTTTTAATCTTAACTTGAACCCTTCTCCTTTACTAATTACTTATCTTTGTAGTCAAAGACTTCTAACTGCAAATTAACTAGCCCACATGTCCTTACAGTTGCTTGACACTACAAGCAGACTGGATACCATGTTTTCTCCCATTCCTCTGATCAGAATAGGACCTACTTCAAAGTACATTATTAAAGGAGTGGAGGGGATGAAAGGTTGTAGTAATATCAAAATGACAAAAGACTCAGTGATACCAAAGACCCTTTCCATGAGTCACACCCCAAATGCCTGCTTTAACTTTGGCTTTGGTTGGGCCTTTTATGGCCAACTGATCCTACCTAGCTGGTTCTCCTCTGGCGTGCTCCATTGAAGCCATCACGAGTCTTATCATCTTGGAAGGCTGTTATTGCCTTCAGCCTCAAGTTGATATTTGCAGATTGCTTCTAACCACACACACACAAAAGTGTTATTACCAATGCTTTCATAAAACAGATTGTTGCACCTCATTACACCACTGGTAGCACAGAAACAATGTGGAATGGACTCTGGCTATATATACAAACCCTATAAAAGCTCAGCCCATACATTTTGTCCCACATGTCCTTATACATTGATCTTACAGCATTTCATTGTCCCCTCTATTCTGCTTTCCATCCTGCAAACCAAGCTGCTGGCAATACCCCAAGAAAGGCTCCACAGTGAAAAGCAATAAAACTCAAGGGGTAGTCCAGTCTTGAATGGAACTTTGTCTACTCCAATTCAGCTTTTTGTTTTTTATAACTAGCAGTTCCTACCAGCCATGAGGAAAAATCTCTTTGCTAGTCTTGGTTAACATGAAGAAAGACTTGATCCAGTGCAACACGTATCATATTCATATAACCAACTAAACGTGGGCTTTCCCTGAATAGGCTGTGGCATCAAATTCTACATATTCCCTTTGGAAAAGCAAGTTTATAATGTAATTAATTTATTGGGAGACTGTAAATTCTCCCACAATCGTATTCTATTATAAAGAGTTGGAAAAGAAAATCACCTGCTTGATTCCACTGCCCTCCCCTGACAGGCCGCAACATGTTCTAACCATTGCTGCAAGTGCTGTCCCACAGTCTGGCAGAGCAGGGCTCAAGGGGCACACCCAGGCAGCGAAGCTTCTCTCTACCAAACCTGGTCATAACTCAGTGCACCGAGAGCTAACAAAATCCGTCTTATTCCTGTTGGTCTGAGCCTGAGCTTCCCTGTGAATCTAACAAACAGGCCTGAGCCAGCAGACTTTAATATTGTGATAAGACTTGCTCATCCCAGGGATATGAAGTAGAGGTATGGAAAGGCAGAGAGACTGCCATCTGAATAGCTTTTAGAGGAGTCCTCCTCTCGGATGGTTTCCATCTCAGGGCTCTATCAGGCAGAGGAAGGAGGTTTTGTTTGTTTGCAGTCTCAGCTACTCAGCTATGGAGATAAGCTATAAAATATGTATCAGTCTCTCAGGAGCAAAAGAGCTGCAAATGCCAGCACTGGATGGCTGGGACAAGTCAACCTCCTGGAGTGTACATGCGCCACCGACTCTCCTGTCAGGGGGTCTCTCCTCTGCGCCTGTGACTCTCCCCGACTGTGTGAGGAGAAGGAGCAGGTATGGTTTTGATTTTAGATTCTCAGCCTTTTTCCTAAGATACTAAAGCTTATGCATCATCTCCGGATCAGAGTCCTACTACACACACCGCAGCCCCATATTGAGCACTGCGTGGGGGCACAGCTCTGCTTAAATGAGCAAGAGAATATCCTGATTCTCTGTGCACTTCAGAGAGCAACAGGAACACACACAGCCTAGATTAACATTTGCTTCTCATGTGCCTGCAACCTGTCTGCCTACAGTGTGCCTGTCTCTCCATACCCCCCAAACAACTTGGTTTTACCCACTGGCCAATTTTCTCCCAGTTTGACAGAGAAACAAAAACCCGAGAGGAACAAAGTTTCTACAAGTTTCATGAAAACCAGCAGCCAGCAAAAGGAGAGCAAACTTATTAGCGCTCAGAGAAAAGCTGCAGCATAAAACCAAATCCCATGAGACATGAGAGCAGGCATATCTCTCTGAACATCCAGCTGCAGGAAAACATTCAAACACAGCTCACATATTAATACACTACAAAGAACCCAACTGCACAATACAAGAAGTCAGGCTGCCAAACTTCCATTGCTTGTGAAACAATTC